CCCCAAAACCCCAAAACCCCATACCACAAGATCTATATATGGATATAAAATTATATAAATCGAGTAAATCCATCATAATATTTTAATATAAGATTTAATAACTTCTATAGGGCTTATAAATACCTTCTTTAACTTTAAAATAATAATCTTATTTTATAAAAATATCTAAAAGTATCGAAAAATGAAGAAATATATCAATATCGTAGGAGTTGCCGTCCTTGGGCATGCTGTCACTTAGGAAAATGTAATCGCTACAGAACTATCAGTTTAAAACCCAAATCCATAAGTCATCCTTTATAGTGGATATGATCCACTATACGAACAATAACATCAACTTAAGGAAGGTGCTTATCTTGATGCAATGCAAAAGATTTATGGAACTTCTGTATAATCACCAAAAGATGACGCTAATAATGATGATCCACTCTTTGACCTTAAAAGAGAATTAAAGCAAGCAGATTACCTCTAAATGTTACAAAATATCTAAGATAGACCTCAAGGTACTAATGGAGCAAACCCATTAAGTAATACTGAATATCAACTTAGAGAATAAGCTTACCTATAATCTCTTCAAAAGATTTATGGAACTAAAGTCCAAGAGCCAATGGTATAAATGACACTCAATAATGGAAATGTACAACAATAATAATTTATGATGGGCTATCATCAAATAACTGACGCTGAAATTTAAAAAGAATTAGACTATATGAGAGGTAGAAGTGCTTAGAATGCTAAATCACCAAATGTTTAGAAAGGTAATGAGCTTTCTGAATTACAAAGAGAAATGATAAAATCAAAATATCTCGGTGGAATGCAAAATATCAATGGTCATTATGCTAATGTATAATCACCTCAATATGGATACTACGATCCATTATATCAGCAAAAGCACCAACTTAAATAAGGAGGTTACCTTGATGCAATGTAAAAGATTTATGGTACTTCCGTCCAAGAACCAAACGTTCAAGGAGGAGATCCATTAGCAGATGTTGAGAGAGAAATGAAGTAAGCTGCCTATCTTGAAGCACTATAAAACATCCATGGACACTACAATGTCTAATCTTCAAAAGTTGAGAATATCGATAATGCAGAGATAGAGAGAGAATTTAAATAAGCACTACTACTCAATCCTATTAATGATATCGTAGTTCATCCTTATGCCAATGTTTAAGCTCGTCTTCACAAGCAAGTCCCGGTTGATCCATTGTAATAAACTTAATGGGAACTGAAAGAGCAGGCAAAACTTGAAGCTCTCCAAAAAATCTATGGAAATAATGTTCAATCGGGAAACCCTTTGTCTGATTTAGAGAGAGAAATGAAATAAGCTACCTACTTAAATGGAATGCAAAATATCTACGGACATTATGCAAAGGTCTAATCACCAAAATCTTAATACTTGTGGGAGAACTATTAATAGATAGAGTGTAAAAGAGCCCCATGTCCATCATACCCTATGAGCAAGATGCATAATGAACCTTATAATTAAGATGTGAATAAAATCTATGGACCTCAAGTTTAAAAGCAAAAGGCTAAAGATTACAACCCACTAGCTGATGTTGAGAGAGAAATGAAGCAAGCAGCTTATCTTGAGGCACTTGAGAGGATTCACGGGGACTTGACACCTCATGTTCAAGACTATAAGGATAAATCAGAGATGAGGCCTATCAGAGGATACAGAAGTGACTGGGAAGATGATGAATGATTCTTAAATGCCATAAATAGAGTAAAATGAAGTAAATGTGAATTGATTTCCGGTTAGCTCTTGATAAAATGATATGGCTTTAGTCTATCAAAAGTCTATATTTTGATGATTTCATAGATTTAATTTTTCTTAAGGATTTTATTATACATCAAATTTTATAAATTCACTTTTAATTTTGAATTAAATTATAAAATAATAGTCGAATATTTGTTATATTGTTAATCAGGGGTTTTGGGGTTTTGGGGTTTTGGGG